GTGCCCTCCGTGCCACTGTAACCCGTCTTTCTTTCTTTATAATTATTGCGTAATTCTGTTGTTTTTTCTTGACTGGGAGATATTCGCAAATTTCAGATGAATGCTGTAATACGTTTTCTTCATTGCTGTCTATGCGATCGCGTAGTTATACCAAGCAAATCAACTCAAAATATTGATAAATAACAAAAAAGGTAAAAACTAGCATTCCACGTTCCAGCGTTCCACGTACCAGCGTTCCACGTTCCAGCGTTCCACGTTCCAAATTCCAGCGTTCCACGTTCCACCGTTCCGCGTTTCAGCGTTCAACTGCGTTCCGTTTTTTAGTGCTAACCAACTTGAGGATCTGCTCTATCTATATATGATATCGAGCACTCTTTAGCATTTCATTGTGAACGATGAAATATATAAAAATATATGAACTCCCAACACCTAATATCTGAACACACAAACATATACAGGGTCTAAAGCAGAAAATCGTGCGCTTTACAAAGATATTTTAATAGGATACTGCATGTAATGGGATATTGTAAAACAAGGGAAAATTATGCTATGATCGATGTCTCTAATTTATATAATTATCAATTTTAGGATATATGTAATGATTGTATTTTATTTACTATGTAACTGTAAGGATACGAAACACCAATTGTCCAAACATCAGAAAGTTGAAGCTATCTACAAATATATATACCACGGTTTCTGCGCGTACATTACTCTTGTTTCTCTGATATTGACCAATTCCTATACAGTGGCACAACTACTTCGGGAGCCACCAAGCAAAAGCAAGTCAATTATAGGGACCCACAGTAAAACGACAAAGTATCGATATTGACGTTTTTAAGCGACTGTCACAAGATTTATAAGCTCTAGGCACGATAATATAAACAGAATATCTGTATCTCTGAATGACCATACAGTTTTCTGTCTATTTTATTACTCTGCTATGAATGCCTAAAATGAAACACAACCAAATTCTAATGGTTTGCACCTAAAATACACGGGAGGGAGGGTTCAACACCCAGGAGGCTCTTTGCTTAAAGTTACACTACTGTTTCAATCAAGAAAACATGCTTCTTTTATACCAATAACCAGAACCTATGGATAAGAATTAATATGATTGCCATTGGTTTCATGTAATATATGAAATTCGACTATGTCTATGAGGACTTTACTAGATAGCCGCCAGTCCGCGCAATAAGTCACCACTACTTAAAGTGTGATTAATTAATTTTAAGCTACGTTTACACGCTGCGATTTGTCGGGCCGATTTGGGTAAATAATCAATGCCCCTTCTTCGACATTTAGCGATTTAAACGTTCAATTGAAATCCGCTCTCTCGTTTGTTTATATTATAGTTTTCTGCGTGCGAAAAGTTTTCAACAATTTTACAACGGAAGAAAAATCGTTGAATCGTGAGAAAAATGTGTGTTTTGTTACAGATTTTTCTCCCGATTTTCTGAATCGCAAGGTGCTGACGCAAGTACTCACGACAGGTTATTTACATACAGCGAGCAAAATCGGCCCGACAAATCGCAGCGTGTAAACGTAGCTTTAATTTTGTCCAGTCCTAGTCTCAATGTCTCATCATGTGATGTGAGCAAAATAAAGTGATATGGTTGGCTAATTTACTCATGAATTATTAATGATTTTGTGATTTAAGCATATAGCCGATATACATTATACAGAAGTAGTTTTCAGCTCAGTCGAACTGGACTGCAATGCTTACAATTCAAAACTTTCTTTGGTACCGGCATGAGAAGGTGTGTTTACTCTTGAGCCAATATTCCATCGATCCTTAAACAGTTTCAGAGTTTTCTTGTTAAACAGAAACGCCAATCCGACATACAATCCTTGTAAACAAGCAAAAACAACAAACAAATAGTCGAATGCTTCTACATCGGGAAACAGCATGCCAATGAATGCAAACAGCCAGGGAAAACCGACTAAAGTTGCAAGTTTTGTGCAGATGAGAAGATTCTGCTTTCCTTCTTTGCGTTGTAAGATCTCTCTGTCCTTAGCATGACGAGATAAACTGACTGCTGTTTGGATAAATTTGTAGATATTATAGAGTAGTAACACTGCCAGGGGTAATAAGAATAAATACAGCTTAGCATTTACAGTTCCCAACCAGCAATTCATTCCATAATCCACTAGGAACACTTCAGTTTTGTCCAAGTTGACACAAACTGCGACAAATACAGCAGGAGTTAGCCACAGGAATGCTGAATATTTGATAAACCTTCGCCACGATGTGTTGGCACTTCTCCCAACGAAAGGTTGTGATAAAACTTTACATGTGTGATGTGAAATGATGGACATGGCCAAAAAGGATACTTGTAGAAGATAGTGTTCCAGTATTGCTAAGATTTCACAAACAATTGTTCCTTGAAAATGAGCCGTACCTGTCAACCATATGACTTGTGACAGACACATTGAGAAACTCAAGTTCATTAAATTCAATCCTGAAACGGCTCTTAATTCTTTAAATAATCCATAGGTGATCAAAAGTAATATATGGCAAAGTGTTGAAACACTGAAACCAATTATTGTCAGAATTCGCAGTCCATAACTTGTACTGTATTTCGTTTCGGTTTTTCTGAAAGTAGTTTTAAACGGCAAACAAACAGAAATTGTTGAGTTCCACGAGTTTTGAGTTGTATTAGAGATGTTTCTTTTGTTTAATTTTTCACTCATTAGATACTCTCCAAATTTGAAAGTACTATTCGTCGCTTTGTGATAAACTGTCAAATTAGGAAAGATCACGTATTCGTCAGGACTTAAAGGCACGTATGCGCCGTCTTTGCAATATGAAAGGATCAGTTTACGACATAATGTAATATTTCCACCATTTTCTTCAACCAAAGTATAATCGCTGAGCAAAGTCCTTCCCCCCTTTCATTAACAACGAAACTCCCGTTTTCCCGATCAATTTTGTATTCACGTGATTGAAACTTCTTTTCACCGTAGCACGAAAGTTGTTTTGAAATCACGTTCACAACAGAGAAGCTGTATTCTTCCCAAACTGCTGTAAAATTTGTTGTAAAATTTAGAAGTCCAAAGAATGCAGTGTTTTCACGGGTGATATTAAAGTCGCTGTTGTGTTGGTTTGCAATTATTAAGCTTTGGAATGGCGTCAATATTAAACGAAAGGTTGCAACGAAGTAATCATTCGCTCTGTATTGCTGGTGGAATGTAATTGTCGAAATTTGATTGCGCAGAAGCGAAAATTGAGAGGATATCGCGAAGGATAATGCTGATTTTAGGTCATCGCCGAGCTTTGAATTTATTTCTCTGCTGTTTCTATTCCGTTTTAACCAAAACAATATTAAAAACTCGTTGGTTAGTTGACCGCTAGAAGAAATAATATACCCCTCGCGACAGAACTTTAGGGTGGTATCATAAACTGTTCCACGGGGACATAACTTGGAGACTACTGTAGTTTTTGGGCTACCAGCGTTTCTTGACTTAAAAACAATCGAGAACTCTTCTGACACTTTGGGGCTGCACCGCGCCGAAATCCTCCAGCCGTTGAGGTTAGGATACCCATTACAAATCGCGCATTCGGTGTTCTTAAAGAAGACGAACTTAGAACTAGTGACGACTTCAACTGGGCCTTCAACACAAGCCTTGTAAGAGGTATCGTTTGTTGAACTACAGTTGTCTATATAATTTTTACCATAGCAATATCTTCGAGGTTGTCCCTTCCCAGGTGAAACACTATTAATATATCCCCCATTCGCCAAGATTAACTTCAACCGAGAATCCAAGTCAAAACTCTTGGGGGTACAACGTATGTAGTAACTCTAATATCCCATGCGGTATAATTTTCCACCCCATTACACAAAGCGCAGTGTTTATTCCGGTACACGAGGGAATTCGCCCCCACTACCGGAATAAAGTCCTCTACGGGGTACGAGAATTCCGATGGGGCATTTTCACATTTTCCCCTCAGCTTGTCAAAGCTGGTGTTTGTAGGGCATTTAGAAATCATCCAAAATCCAGTCGGTCCCACGATATAACAGTACGGCGCCGGAGGCGCCCCAAAGATTTCGACACATTTCCACATCGAAGCAGACTGTTTAGTTTCCTTCGATTCCTGTCGCCCACATTTCGAAACGTAATCCCAACAACAATCTGAAAATATCTCAAAACAAGCGTGGTCGTAGAAGCATTGATTGTACTTAAGTGAAAAATCCATCTTATTCCCGGTGCATTCTTGATCCCTTAAAGTTCGACGTACTCTTTCGTGGTCAAACGATACCGATTTTTCTATGCGCTTGAATGCACTAATTGACTCACTCGCTTGAATTGAACCACAGTAAACGAATGTAAGCAAGAGAAGTAAGCGAAGATAGCTGTAGGACAAGATGACATTTGGTAGATCCATTTCGCATTCATGCCTGGGATTTCAAGCTGAATGCACACCAATATATATGGTCGAATAATCGCCACTTTGATCTACACGCACGCGGATCATAACGCATGACTGTTAATTTCAAGGAGTAATTTAACTCCCAGCAGAGGTATTTTTGAAACAAATTTAACTCCAAATGAAGAGTAAAATGAAGTTCAAAATAACTCCACAGGAGTTAAATTAACTCCCTGACATTAACAGTACGATAAACGTTAACAAGTTGCGCTATCTTTGTTTGCTTTTTCGCAATTTTAAAGGAAGTTTTTTTCTTTGCTTTCGTCTATGCACGATTTTTTTTCTTTGTTCTTTCCTTGCACAATCAACCCCCCTCCCACATTTTCTAATGATCTGCCCACAATATACCTCTATTATTGCATACACCTTGTATCATTTATTAAAAATATTCTCTTCCAAATATTGAGGAGCGTTTATGTTTCCATTTGGTCGCGTTATCTGACTGTCTGATCTCTCCGGAATAATCTCTGTTTTGCTTATCTTTCAAAGATTCGTACATGCATGTAAATCAAGCCCTCGCGAGCGTTTCAGTTAAAATTAAGCCCGTATAGATCGAGCACGTTCTCCTTGACAAGTTTTATTTGCTCATGTGCACAGCAAAAAATTGTCAATTTTTCCGTGCCAATGAGCCATTTGAGCTCGTTCTTTTCTTTTCCATATTTTCCTGCAGTTTCACGCATTTCTTCGGCATGAGATTGAAGAAGTTCCTCTAAAGCCCTGTTTAAACGGATCCAACATTGTTGAGCCAACATCATCCAACATTGTTGAAATAATGGCTCAAACGGCTTCTTTTTCAAATATTTTTGTCAAGACTAGGTTTAGAGTTTAAGTAAAGCTTATCTAACCAAAAAGATTTGAAAGAGAAGCAGTCATATCTATTATAGTAACATTGTTGGATGATGTTGGTCCAACAATGTTGGATCCGTTTAAACAGGCCCTAACGCTTCCTTATCTTTCTGAAGAGAAGAGATTTCTCTTTCGCCGTCTTTTCAACGATTTCGGCTTTCGAACGAGCATCTTGCACGTCTTTTATTTTTTTCTCTTTCATAGTCTTCTTCTGAGTTCTAATTTCACAATTTCAACTTCGCAACCAGCGTCGGGAGCAAGGTCTGCACGAACTTTGGAGACCTCTTCCCTCGAGTCACCTTTGTTCGAAAGCTGGCGTGCGTTTGTACAGCCGCCAAGGCCTTGACAAGTGTGCAAGAAATACGTCTATGGTTTTGGCAAACAAAAGGTGGCCTTGGCGTGAAGAGCAGTTCTCCTTCATGGACATGGGCGCCTCAAACAACACGAAATAGCTCGTTTTCTTTATCGATATGAATAGCACGCCTCTAGGTGTGTTTCTGTAGCACGCCCTAAGGTGTGTTGCTGTAGCACGTCTTAAGGTGTGTTACATGCACCAACACGCCAAGGCGTGCTAACACACCTTTTCTCAAAACACATCTAAAAGGTGTGTTGTTTTCTGAACAAGCAAAAAAACACACCTTAAAGTGTCCTACTGTAACACACCTTAAGGTGTGTTGTTTTCTGGACATAAAAGGTGTGTTGCTTTATAGCACACCTTTTTTAAGAGTGTATCTATATTGCGAGCGTCTAGTAAAACGCCTTATTTGAATTCACGGTCAAAACCACATGCATACAGTGTTATTTTTCTTTACATTTATTCACAACACACGATAGCGTTTCAGGCGATCTGGTTTTCAAATGACTGTGCTCGCTAACTACTGTATACATAAATGCTGACATAAACACATTGACATATTAAGTACTGGAAATTTTTACAAAAATTAAGAAATGGAAACTAGTTGACTAGACGTTTTTTGAAAGAATTAAAAAGAGACATTGGGTTAAAGTTACTGTGAATCTGATCATCTAGCCTATTCCCAGCTTCTCAGTAAGAAAAACCTCTCTTGTGACGACCGAATGAAAATATATTACGCACGCGCCGTATACAATTTAATTCCGTCTATATTTCTTCGTTTACTATACGTTTGTTAATTGGACTTGATAATTGAAATGGACGTCTGTCTATTCAAGGGGCTGATATTGCTAATAATGATAAGAAGTTTTAATCGAACTCACTAAAATTTTACAAACAGGAAAAGGCGAATTATAGACAAGGCCATGCAGGGATTGGCAAACGGCTCGAAGTGCCCAACAAGGCAATTTTACCCCGCACGTCGATGACAACTAATTTAAAACACTATGACAACAAAATACACATAAAATTTCTCTATATAGTAATACTACTGAGCAGCATACGCCATTTTCGTCGTCTAACGCTAGTTTCGAGACTCTAACTGGGACCTAATGACTGAAAATAAGTTCGTAATTTTAGTTTTACACCCGTTTTCAAAACTACGCGACGTACCCGGTGCATATTGGCTGGTAGAGCAATAACAGATGCCATATATACTTATTTTAGTATTTGCCGTTTGTACAATGTAATCCATTTTATCAGCCCTAAAAGATTGGTTATCAGAATTAAATCGTCTCGCTGACGCTGTCTGTGTGTTAATTAATGTGCGAGTTGCAACTGCGGATAATTGTAATAGATAAATAATGTAAATAATATATAAATTGTAAATGGTAAATTATTATTATAATGCATGTAGCGACCGAAATAGGCAGATGTTTACTTTAATTATCGAGTCTGTAAAGGCCGTTTAATTTCCACTAGCCGGCGGAATTTTCGTGCGGAGCGGGTTATTCTTTGTCTTGTGATTTCTCGCAAGTTTTGACTAGACACAGCATAAAATACGGCATCTCAAGTTATAAGCGACACAGGTTCGACATGGGTCATGCCTGTCAAAACAGGGTATCCTAGGTAGTGGCGCTACCTGCAAGTGTCTGAAGCTAACTGCAATCCTTGTCTGAACTCTGAAGTTTTTATGCATACTAACTAAAAAAATACTTAAAATTTTCCACAAACTAATTGCAAATTTTTTTGGCCACCTGCAAAAAAACTAAATATACAGGCATGACATGGGTTTAGACGCCGTGCTCTTCATGTGCCAAACCTAATGGATATATTTTTGTAACATACAAATTATCATATTATTATAATATATTAACAATTTAGCACTGAAATTTATGATATATAGTATTTTGGCATGGTACAATTAAGTCCAACGTTTTCCGTATTTAATTTGATTAGGGTTGGCGCATGAAAAGTTCGCTGTTTAAACTGGGCCTTAAACTCTTGACTTGTTCTATTTTTTAGGTGCAGCTGCAGTAGTTCAGACACAAATAACTAATCATATGACATTTAAAGGTTAATACTAAAATTAATAATGTGTATTTCTTACCTTGTAAAAAAAGATCCTCAATAGGGGCGATCAACTTTTCTATTAATTTCTTCGCTTTCATATTGCGATATGTACCATCCTGACTTGGCCCGGTACGTTCAATTGACACAATATGATCAAAACGCGGATTCGCCGTACTTCCATATTCCCTGTAGTCCTCATACAAAAACTGCATAGCCGCTCCTTCCCGGTTGGTCTGCCTATCATAGACCAATATAGGTACATCTCTCTTCAATATTTTTAATTCCAAACATTTTTTGATAATCTTCCTGAGTAGGACCTCATTTCGTTCATCGATTATAAAGCTGACTTCTTTACCCAAAGCACACAGAGCTTTCGCAATGGCAATAGCGCCCGGCATGCCATCGGTTTCTTCGGCTACTGGGTCATCACCAAATACAGGAAACCCAAATATTATACCGACCAAAGACGCTTGGTAAAGGCAAAGTAAACTTTTCAGCAGATCCTCTTTCACACTCAAATATTCAACTCCACGTTTGCCAATATCAAAGAGGGCTAATGTTTCCAAGCGAGTAATCTTGTCTTTTGTGCTTTCGGAAAGTACAGAGAACCTTTTCAGGTTTTGAGAAATATGTACCACACAGGGGGTGTGCTGTTTGTACGGTGATGGATGAGAGTCCTGGAATGCTGCTGTGGTGACGTCACAGATAAACATATGACCAGGAGCGTGTGAAAAACATTGTGGTAGACCTAGACAATACATTATGCAAAGGCCATTAAAGGGTAAACTTGGCAAGAGGCGGACTGTTAGCTTCTGAATAACTGAATTTGAAAATGATGAATTCCTGATTAATTTTAAGAGGGCATATGATTGTACAAGTTTTCAAAACATGTAGCTATTGGGGCATAGCTAGCCATAATGTTTTGTAAGTGTAAAACCCACACCTTTAAAAAATTAGGGGCCGTTCATTATTTATGCGAGGGGGGAGGGGATGGGGGGGAAACTGAGGACCAGAGATTTTTCGAGATTAAAAAAGGGGGACTGCAATTCTGGTAAATTGAAGAAAGAATATAACTTTCAAAAATCATTAATAATTGATGAGGGGAAAAAACAAAAGGAAATCAGATTCACATAAACTTCATCTTTGAATTTCTGCTGTTAGACAATGTTGATTTTCAAATAGATCGTTTCTGAAGCTATTCAAAACACTCACTGACAGTATATGTTTCATATTATTAAAACACTAGGGTATCGCCTCGTGTATAAATCTGATAAAAGATTGCTGTTGGTGCTTTGAATATTATTATATTAACACATAATAACCAACTTCTTTTCTGCTCTCTGTCCCTGCTGTACAAACTTTACAACATTATTTAATGCAGTGCAATAATGCAAAATTTATTAATATCAGGGAAGTTTTTTATATATAAGCTTAACCAGATAAACCACTCATTTAGTTATTTTAATAATCACGACTTATTTATATATATTCTTGCAATGAAAGACAAATCCATCAATTGAATTTGGTAGCTAAATATTGTTTTGATGTACTGACTAACGTTGAACAATTACTATAAAATAATTCAGTATTTTATATATCCTGTTTAGTTATACTATAGTCAACGATTTTGTGATTTAATACTTTTTATACAATGTTATGTATATTCATTATGTACCAGTATTGGTATTTTGTTATGAATAAAGTTCTTATAATTATTATTTAATATAATGTGAATTGTACATTGTAGCACTGTATATATAAATATTAAATATATGCATATATAAATTGCAATAGCTGCAGAAGTATTGTACATGTGTTACTCAACAACATGGTATGTCTTTTGTAAAGTGGTTATGTCTTTTGTAAATTAGCGCATGTTATACAGCTATTTCAATTAAGGTTGTCCCCCGAGCAAAGCGGAAAAGTCGAATACAGACGCGAAAGGTTGCTGGGAATCGCTAATAAATTAATGAATTTATTAGCGATTCCCAGCAGCCTTTCACGCTCGTATTCGACTTTTCCGCTTTGCTCAGGGGACAACCTTTATTGAAATAGCTGTACATATACACAGTAGTTAATATAGGGGGACCTTAAAATTTATTGTTAAGGTAAGGGGGGAACTGAAAATCTAAGTTTGACAAAGGGTGGGGTCCGGGAAAAAATAAGAAAATTTGAAAAAACCACCCATGCCCCATCAATAATAAATGGTCCCTTAGTTGGTTTTAATTAACCCAATGAGCATGCACCAGCTAGCACTCTCCTCTTGATGAGAAAAATTGTCTAAAGACAAATGATTATCCTGTTCAATTATTACTGGTAATCAATTCAATGGATTTTGTGAACAGTTAAGCACAGCTAATGCCCAACAGCTGTATGAGTGAATGTTTAAGTGCCATTAAATGTAATTTGACCACTGTGTCACAGAATAGGAACCTTACAGATGGTCGACTTCTTAATTTTTGCCTATGATTTTGGCATAACCATTGCAATGCTATCTCAATAGTCCTATAGCCAGTGGACTTATGAGAGGCATTCCCCCTAGAAAATATTCAAATTGGCAGACATTCAGGGGGGTGAATGCCTCTCATAACTGCACTAGCTAGAAACAGGACACTGCATTTTGATGACAAATCATTGAGAATCATGATGAGGAAGAGGTTACACTTACTAGCAGACTTGATTGCTTTATTTCCAGTTACACCACAAGCAAAGAAAACTGGCACTTCATTCTCTGCAACAGCAGTAGGCTCTCCAAAATCTACTTTCTGTATATCACCTATCCCGATGTCTCTTGGATCACCAATATGCACAGGTGCACCATGGGAACAGTCTAATGTATACGTAGTTGTGAACAACGCCTGTAGTAGCTCGGTCGGAACTGATCTCATTGAAACAACCATGTTAGTCAAAAATGGCCCAGATTTATTGCATGGTATATTTGAAATATACATGGAAACATTTTTATTTGTTGCCGGGAGTTTAATACCAGTGGCATCCAAGGCATCTTCCATACCAAAGCTACAACCAAGATAAAATGTTACCATGTCCTTCCAATCAAATGATGACAAATCATTCAATTCGTTGTACAGTTTGCCATCTTTGATGTGCCAATACTTTCCCAATTGGGTTCTAGAAACAGATATACATGCATATATATTCACTAATGTAACATACGTATCACAATTTGGTATCTGGGGCATTCCAGAAAAGATCCAGACTCCCACAATGGAAGAGATCTGGAGGCGACGGGAAATATAAAATGTACCAGCAGGGGCATAACAAAGGCTGTTTGCTTGGGGGTTCCAATATGCCTCACCTTTGCCTACAAAGTAAGGCATGACAGGGGCATGGTTTGGGCATGGTTTGCTGACTTAAATTTTTGAAAAATATTCTTTCAATCAGTTACGGATTTTCTGGGGGTGCGCACCCCCCCCCCCACAGAAATGATTTGCACCCCCCAAAGGCATTTGGCACCCCCACAAATTACATATTTTGATTTGATAGTTTCATATTTGATTATTCTTACTATTAAATTTGTAAAATTAATAATATTATGGTCTCAGATCTCGCCATGCAGGCCTAGAATGTTTTCTAATTTTGTTAAACTTTTTCCTTTGCCTTTCCGGGCGTTGCCACCACGCCCCGGCCAAAGCAAGCAACAGCACCCCCCAGATATTTATCCATCCCCCAAACGAAAATCTGTCTCTGCTTTCAATGTAATTTTAATATCTATTAAGACTGAATGTTTCATATTTACACAGCGTATCAATATTGTAATTTGTAACTGTGTAATTTGCAACTAAGGACAAACAAAATCAAACAGCAGGCCTTTGGTAACTAAAATCATTATATATATATATATATATATATATATATATATATATATATATATATATATATATATATATATATATATATATATATATATATATATATATATATATATATATATATATATATATATATATATATATATATGTCCAGGGACCACAGAACAGGGGGGGCCATGGCCCCTCACTTTTTTGGTGGATAACAAAAAATTACCGAATAAATCCAGCCTGCCTGTGTGGAATAGCTCCTGTGCTATCCTGGCCCCCCACTTCAAAACAGGCTCTGCGGTCCCTGTTCTCACACTTTGGTAACATCCATAATTATTATCCGGGACTAGGTATCTGGCGCGTCTGGGCGTGCGCAAAATTCTATTTTCACGAGGGTCAAGTGCGCACTTGCACAGTGGCACTTGGCATGTGAAAGATATTAACAAAGTTGAAAGCTGAAACCTTACCTTATATCAGAACCTTTTGCCAGTATTGGGGCTGTAACTTCTCCTGGTTTACTTCGATATAACAATGGGCATGCACTTGGATTCAGTTTACAAAATCTTTCAAAATCGTCCGCAACTTTGGATGGCACGATAGAAATATTTGCTTGCAAGTGACTCCGACACCAACCATAAGTTGGAAGGGGCAAAGTGCCTTCGCTTATTAGGCGCCGTACTTGAGACGGTAGCGCCTTACTGTAGTTCATACTCTAGAAATTGTGGTTCACTGGTTCAATTTAAAATATATCAACAACACAGAAATGCAGAATCAATTGAAATCGATTAACTGATGAGATTACTTTGGCTTAAATTGCGCATGCATGATGCGGGGTTGACTACCTCACGGGCGTTCTTTGAGGGTGACGTCAATACAATTGGAAAGCGGTTTTCCACTATAATCTCGTAATGTCTTCGTAAAATCTTCGTAACATGTTCGTAACTTCCGGCTGTATTAGTGTAAAAAATACAACATGGCCGGCACGGTGATATTTTACAATTTATTAGTCCTTTGCCCAATTAGAAGTTTAGTGTTTTTACTATTTTTACTTATCTAAATTTGGAGAATAGAATAAAAAGAGCTCTCAGGTGAGAATACTTTTGTTTAATTAAATATTAAATAATTCTTGTTAACAATATCGTGCATAATTTTACATAATTTTACAGCTATAAATTTTATTCATATATGCAATATGCACCTTCAATGTTTTTAAGGGGGTCGGGCATTTGATTTTTTGAGCGAATTTTCAATCAAATGCCCCACCATCGGGCAATAAATATTGGTCAAATACACACCATTAATACACATATATTAATAAAAGTCATTCATTCAAATTGCCCTAACTCAGGACTAAAATGCTAATCAAAATCCCCAGGGTGGGGATGCAATTGATGATCAAATACCCTACATATGCCCGACCGCCCCCCCCCCTCCCTCTTGGGGGTTAACCTTTATAGGTGCATTATGTATTATAAAATATCAACAACAAAATACACCGTGAGTCAGTAACTTTATAGACCACTGTGTGTAGTATTAGTAAAATGTACAAACACTAAATAGCAATGCCCACAAATGGTAATAATACATCCAATTGCTGCAATAGTGTTGTGGCTACTGCTCTAAAGATAGCGGATCGAATGCTAATGAAGCTTAACATGCAATGTGCCAAATGTCCCATACTTCAAACCGCGAGTGTTTTACTCGTGAAGGGAAAAGTCTTAATGGGCTCACATTAATGGGTTACATACCATACAATAAATTTCTGAACTTAATAGAAAGATTAAAGAGTAATTTTAGAAAAGATTAAGATTTTTATAGCACACATTTGCATGTGAATGTGATCAAATGTGCTTTAAGGAGGCTCCCTACGGTTGTGCTTACTTGTCAAACATCTCTAAAATAAAAGTTTACTCATGCTGATCACCCATGCTTTCCTATTTATAACAGCAATATTCAACATCTGTGGAATATTTACAATTCGGTTTTGACAATGTTGGTGTTGCCATAGCAACACAGCGAAAGCACATAACCTACTATTTTTGACATATAATTGTCTGTATTTCAAAAACAAGGTTGATGACCTATCTTTTTTATTTTATATATCAATAGGGCATGATGTTTTGCAACTATTGTGAAAGTCTAAAAAAAATCCTTGGTGTGCGATTTTTTTAAATGTGAAAAATTTATTACAAGATTTCTACACTAAAAATTTTTATTAACTAATAAACTTTCACTGTAGCAGAACATCATTCCTTATTGATATATGAAATAAAAAAGATAGGTCACCAACTTTGTTTCTGAAATACCAAAACCGAGTTGTAAATATTCCACAGATGTTGACAAGTAAACCTTTATTTTAGAGATGTTAGGCAAGTAAGCACAACTGTAGCGAGCCATTTTACAGTCAAACCGGATGTTCTCTTGCAAGCAACATTGCAATATTAATTGTCTCACAATATTGCAATTTTGATAGGCAGATTGCTCTGAGCAATTTGCAACCGACGCGAACAAATTGCAAGTTGAAATTCACAAAAGATTTGTAAACAAAGCCTCGGATTAGATTATAAGAAAGAGGGAAGCCAATCAAATAGTCTGAGCAACTGGATTGGTGCTTCCCCCTTTCTTATAGTCCAATCAGAGGCTTTGTTTACAAATCGTTTCTGAATTTCAACTTGCAATTTGTTCGCATCACTTGCAAATTGCTCAGAGCAATCTGCCTATCAAAATTGCAATATTGTGGGACAATATTGCAATGTTGCTCACAAGAGAACATCCAGTTTGACTGTAAGCCTAGATGTTTTTTTTTAAATTTGTCGAATGTTTTTTTTAATTAAAATCAACTGTAAAGTTTTCAGTAACACATATACTTCATGGTAGTATTTGGTAAAAAAGGAAAACAGGAAATTCTCCTTTCTTTTCATGTTTAATTACAGATAGTAAAAATGGCAATATTGGCTATAAACTATGGACAGTAAAACATATCTTGCAATGCTACTCCATAATCAAGCTTGACGCAGCTGGCATGAAAGAATTGTCCGCAAGCGTCACACCCAATCCAGTCATCACCTTCATCTTCTTTGCAAATTTTACAATGCGAATCATCTCTCCTATAATATAATGTACATTGTACAAGGTAAAAAAAACCCTGTTGATTGCTAACCATAAGCTGCATGCAAGGGTCTTAGCTAGAGGGCCGTGTTGGCTGTTTTATCGCGGCCCAAAATGGAAAAACATGGCTAGATAAAATGAACGCGGCTTCACTATTTATATAAGGCCATGTAGGTTCATAAAATAAGGTGGTGCTACTTACAGCAGACAGAATTTCTTCCTATTTACGTCGTAAGAAAGTTTGTAAAATCTACTGTTGTTGTTGAATTGGCAAAAGTAATCCGTGATGTTTTAATGTTTTGATGAATAATGGGAACCGTATGGTGTTTAAGTGGTTTTAAATACCCCCAAGAGTTGCTGAAATAACTTAATATTTTAATGTCAGTGCGCAATATGAGCGTATGCTCGCCTTGTATTTGGTTGCAAAGCATAGAACAACCACAAGCATTGTTGGCGAGCATAACTAGAACCGTGATTTTGCTATTCAAGGTAATTGACATGTGCATGCCTTGGTCATGTGAAACACGCCCAAGATCTAAAATCCTAGCTAAGACCCTGGCTGCATGTCTGGCTTTAGTTTCTATAATTTGCCAGTGTTTCATTTAATACTTTTTATATTAAGTTACTCAACAAAATCATCATAACAGTTGCCAAAAAGTGATGATGAAATTTTATCTCTTTCACTTTTCATGTTAAAAGCTTGGTTTAGCGGTTCTCCTCTGGTTATACAACGTGCAAACTAAAAAGATTAAAGTTACAAATTGAAGGCAAGTACACTTTAAAGTAATAACTTTTTAAATAATTTCTGTTAATTTTCAATGGTTATTTTGTACTGCACCTACCAAACATATCAGAATCCCACAATTATACCCATCTTTTTGAACAAAATGCTTGGGCTCTACACATTCCCAATTCTTGCTCCTCCAACCAGTTTTGATGTCCACTACAGAACTGTTAAATTGAAGAAAAAAATGCAATACTTTAATGCTTTACTTAGACAATAACTTTAATTAAACTCAATAATATATTAATTCATACTATCTTTAGTACATTAAGGTTGCTTGTTATATACTATACATAGTATAAATACCTTATGTTATCAATCAGTTGTTTTAATGCTGGGTTATTGGTACATGTTATTGATTGTTCCTGACTATGTAATGGATCCAGGTAAAGTCGACGGGAATTTTTGCAATCAATCACCTGCAATTCATATAATTGAGAATATTATAACTGAGATTATTTATTAAAAAATAAGGTTTTGATTGCAATTGCCATCGGTGAATTGGTCATGTCAATTCAGTAATAGGCCAAATATTGAGTTCTGACATTAATCAACAGTCTGATGTCATAATGTTGGTTTTCAATAATATTAATCAACGTTCTGACGTCACACTGTGAAAACGAATACAAGTTTAGTAAATATACTAAAGTATGGTGTATGGGAGCGTTTGCATGTGTGTTAAAGTGTTACCATTAAATATATAATGCTGCCTGAGTTTAGTTTGTTGAATGCGTTTAAATTGTTTAGTTTGTGAATATGAATTCATACCAACAGTGTCCAGTGGTTACGGGTGATGTTCATCGGGATAAACATTTTCTCAATGGCACTAAAACTTTCCCCCATCCATAGTCTTCGGGTGCTTGACTGTCTCTCCACAAGCTCCCACAAGGTGGCATCCGCATAAAAAGTTTCTGGATTTGAGAGACGTAATCGCCATAACGTTGTTTCAACAATCTACAATGCAATATATTAAGCTTTAAATTAAAACACTTGTAGTTTGTATTGAATCATATGTAAAGAGCGTGGCAATATAGTACATAACATTCAATAATAAATAGTTACCAGAAGGAAACTAAGTGAATATCACCGTATTTTTTACCTATCGAATTACATATGATTCTCATACACATGTAATATTAGCACATGTTAATAAACTTTGTAGTTTATTAACATGGAGATTAATTAAACAAAAAAATATTAATAAAGTACCTTATCCACAAGCCAACCAGGAATCAAATCTGGATGTGCTGACTTTATCTTTTTGAAGTCGGTCACATAACCAGGTGGAAGTAATGTGCAAAGATCTGATACACTGAGTTTAACAGGACCATATTCTAACATGTATTCCTGAAACCCATTCTTACACGCATAAATTATTCTTTCGTAAGCTGAGTGTAAATTTTCAATTTCTTGATCAATCACCATTGGTGTATCACACCTGCAATAAAACGTTTTAATTAGAAACACGCAGTCGTATTATGGTGTTGTCGATTGTTTGAACTCGCGACCGGCCTTTGGAATGCTAGTCAAGGCAAAGTATTGGGCTAGCCATTCCAACGGTCGCAAGTTCAAACCTGGTTGCGGTTAGCATCTTACGCTTTCGCGGCTGAGACGCATATATCACTTAAAAACATTGCATTAATATTACCAAGTAAGCAACATCACCATGCACGCACACACACACACACACACACACACACACACACACACACACACACACACACACACACACACACACACACACACACACACACACACATACACATACATACATATACATATACATACATATATATATACCGGGTGGCCCAAAAAAAAGTACTCCTGTTTGATTCGTAATAACTTCTAAACAAGTGAAGCTTTTGAAGAGAAATAACTTGCATTAAATAGAGGAAGGACTAACTTAGATTTTGATATATTACAGTTGTATTTAACTTAAAAATTCACGGAGATATTAATGTTCAAAATCGGGAGCATATTTTGGGATGTGTCTAAAATTAGCGAAAATCGGCATATCAAATATTAACTCCAGCGTTTGTTTGCTTAATGACATATCAGGCTAAATTGTATTTCAGCGAATTATCGTTAGGGTTTGTAAGGGATATGGCGTAGATTTAGACATCTTACATGTAAGTATTATAGCTCATTGTTTCCTGAAATATGAACGTTCGAAATTATGCAAGTATTTAATATTAGGTCTTTACAAACTTAAAAGTACATGAAAGACTGACCATGGAAGGCAGGCGATTAAATTTTTCTTAAATAGCCTAATTTGTTTATGTTTTTAATGGGTTCAAACAGACTGAGTTGATTATTTCTCGGTTAGAGCAGGATGAATATTATTCTTTATTGAAGGAAATAATATTACTTTTTGCAAATACACTTCACCGTATCAACGCTACTATTTTGTTACGTTTTGTTCCAAAAATGTTGCATGTCTCTTGGGAGTTGCTTAATTGTTATGTCTTACGGAGTTATATGGTTTGATTGTGTTTCATATAATTCTCAGTTTACCGTCTGAACTTGCCAAGATTAAGAAAAGGCAAAAGGGTTTGGGTGTTCTTAACAAGATTTCAGAACGTTGCAGAAGTTAGAAGAGCTTCACAATTCCATTGTGACAGCATGCCCTAATTCAGAACTACGAACCGACGATCCATGACTATCCTTCGCGATGCAGTGGTCTCATGAAATAAGGAAACGTATTCGTGCTAGGAACACACGCGAATTTCGGACGAATAAATCTTGCTTGTATTTTGTAGATATAATAATACTTTGTTTCATAATAAA